TGTTGCAACAGATTATTTTACAAATGGCCTGAAGCAGAAACAATCTTTGAAGTTACTGAAAAATGTGTTGCAGAATTCATCTATCAAGTTATTATCTGTAAATATGGATACCCAAAACAAATCCTGTCTGATAGAAAAACTTATTTTTGAAATAAAATAGTAAATGGATTACTCAAACAATTTGAGATAAGACATTTATTATCCATATCATATCATTCTCAAACCAATGGATTGGTTAAATGATTTAATAGAACTTTGTGTAAATCACTTGCAAAGTTAACTGAAGACAAAGAAGATTAAAACCAACACATTTCACCAGTACTTATTGCTTACAGAACATCAAAACAATCTTTTACAAAAATGACACTATTTTATTTACTTTATGGATGAAAACCTCAAATGTGCACAACAAACATAAATTAAATATTGCAACCAACAATTTTTAAGTAATTTTATACTTTATTAGAAGAACTTCTACAATAACAGAAACAAGCAAGAAGAAATATTCACAAGGAACAACAAAGACAAAAATGAAGGTTTGATCAAAAAGTAATAAAATATAAGAAGTTCAAAATCAGAGATAAAGTATTAATGTATGATATCACCAGAGATAAATACTTCACAAGAAAACTGAAACCAAAATAAAAAGAATCTTTTTACATTCATAATGTCTTGCCCAATAATGTCTTTAAGCTTAGAACAATAGAAAAAAAAGTTCTTATTGCTCTTATCAATCTTTTTCTCTTGAAATTATATTTTGACCAATCAATATGGAAACCTAGTATACTGTTAGCCCTATAAAAGTCACATGGTATAGTCACGTACTGTGACTATCGTGTCATGTATCCTGGAAATGTGAAGTAGCATTAATAATTAGCATGGGAAATGCAGTCATCAAAGCTTACATAACTTACCCATAGTTTGTTTTAGCCCTGATAGTCTATTTTCCCTTAATTGTTTTTCTAGTAGTAGCAACAATATAAATAGTAATGCTAATGTATAAGCAAAAAGAGAAATAGAAAATTGAAAAAAAAGAGTAATAATAAAAATTGAAACACCAAATAAGAAATATTGTAATTAACAACTTATCTTTTCAATTACACACTATACAAGAAAGGATAATCACTGCTATAGGACATAGCCCAGGATTATCAAGAGAAGAGATGGTGTTAAGAAAGAAAAGAAAAGCTTGTTAATAATGAAAAACCCCAGCTAAATTAATCTTACATGCCTCAACTTACTTTAGTTATGTGAACATTGAACCAGAGAAGTGACTGACTCACTGTTTTCTGGACCAACAATACTTATTATTGGCAGGAACTGATGTGGGGCGTGATCGCATAAGCATATTCTGGCATGTCTCATACCCTGATTTGCAATAATCAATAACTTATAGTCTATAGTGACATATAAAGCCATGATATAATTTTAGAAAGCTTAAATTAACTATAACCTTAAATAGCTTAATAAATATAGATAGTCTATTGGAGCTTAAGGGGAATCACATGGTATAATTGTAGTTTAACAAAAGTACACAAGATAGAATAAAAAGTAAAGAGACCAAAAAAAGAGCAGTAGTACAAATAATAAGAAAACCTATTTCCTAAATAAAAACCTTCTTAATTAAGATGTGTGACTATTGTTGCCTAACCAAGTAAATTCTAATTAACTTATCTAATCCAATACTTGTCGTGAAATAGAATGACTAGAACCACAAAGGGAAAAGTAATAAAGATTTGTCACAAGAAGCAAACAACAGAAAGAGAAGGAAAGTGTTAGTAGAAATTGCTAAACAACTCACATGCCTCAAGTAGAAAAGCTAAACACTTACCTGACATTACATGAGAAGTATTCTGGAGAAGTGACAGACTTGTTAAGAGAGAGTCAACAATATACAGGAAGAAGCATCCTTTAGCTACTGAAGAGTTCAGTATCCAGGTTATCCAGGTTATGCGATGTGAACACAAATGCTTAGGTAATCTAGTTCTCTACTTGTACCAAACCCAGCACAAGTATCACTGAACCCTTAAACAAAAAAGAAAACCTGAAGAAAATAGAGAAACAAGGGAAAGATGGAGTGTAATAAAAGTGGTCCACAGAGTACTCCTATCCATTACAGCTGGCCTATAAAGTATACTTAGTAACTACTATATCTTTCACAATAAATTCACAAACTTTGAAGAGAAAAATATAAAAAAAACAAAATAAAAAACAAATCTCTAGTTAAACAAGAAAGAAGAAAAAGACTTGTCAAAGGAAGTAAGTACAGGATTTTCTAATAGACTAAGAAGATCTTTCAGATGAGATACCTGTTTCTCAAGTTCAAGTTTTTTAACTCTAACTTTCTATTGAGATGTGAAGGAAGTATACATTTTGAAATATTTTCAATTCTCTTTTCAATCTTTCTATCTCTGGCTTTAAAGTCCTGAATCTCTCTCCTTGATAAATTTGACATTTCAAAAATCTGACTTTTTTTTGAAGTAACACAATTATCTCCCAGGATAAATTCCAAGAACTAGAGTGAGTTAGGTGAGCATTTCTTGACAAATGATTTTCTTTTGACATTTTCAAAAGAATTTGGGATTGATAATTACCTGCTAAATAATTTTCAAGAAGACCTTAAGTATACAATATGATAGAACCTTAAAAATACTTGTGAAAATCTATTAAAAGGACAGTTGCCTCAAACAACATACTCCTTTTTCAAATTTGAACATTTCTAATATGCAACTAATAACCCCATGGCTGCTTATATTATTTTGGTTGAAGATTTTCTATAAAACACTTCTGAAGATATAAATGTTGTAACAGCCCCTATGATTGTCTACAGACTACTGAAATACAACTTTTGAATACCTATTAGAAGTTACAAAGGATATCACAAAGAAGAAACAGAATTATAACTCTTATGTATACTTACTATCTTGAAAAATTATTGAAACAACTCCTAGCCAAACACAAAGATCTTACTTAAATTCACAGATCACTAGATATTATCTTTAGCTTCTATATATACATATTACCTTTTTAGCAAAGTTGGAATCTATCAAATTTATAGAACTTAATTCACTACTCTTTGCCTAATTAGACAATTGTTTCACTCTAATTTTATTACTCTGACACAAGATTAAATTTGTAGAACTTATAGATTAGTGGTAAAGAATTGTTACATTTGATTTTTGCCCAAAATCTTCAATACCCTTTGTTTAATTTTCACTAGCATTGACCCTTAAAATTATTCTTATTTTAAAGCCTTTGTTCTTTTATATTTTCTTTTTCTTTTATTTAACTTGATTTTTATTTTATTGATTCTTTTTCAAGTTAACTTTTTTCTTAATTCTGCATATTAAATATAACAATCTTGTTTAAAAAAATAGATTACAAGTTTTTTTCTTTTTCTTATATTTTTCAATAATTTTTTTGAAAATAAAAACCTTTTCTAAAAAATTAATATAGCCTTTGGTACTATTTTAAGTATTGTTTACTTGTTGATATCTTGATCAAATATATTTAAAAGATTTTTGTACAACTATTGTTAATAACTTAATCTCTTGTCTTTCTTTTACTTTAATAAAAAACTAATTTTTCTAATAACTCATAAAATTTAATTCAAAAGTTGAAATTTTTTTTTCACTAGTCAAGAGATATAAACTTGTCAACCTAAAATTTTGAGTAGTTATAAACATATTGTAATAGACTTATAACTATCTAATATAGTTTTTCTATTATTTGAACTTTATTCTTAAACTTTTCAAGATTGAAAATTTGTTTTTATCCAAAAACATATTTATTTCTTTTATATATGTTTTCAACTATAGATAAATAGAAAGAATATATAAAAGAAGATAAAGGATTAAATAAATTATACAAATGCTACAGAACAAATAATTACAAAGAATATATATTTACTATCTGATATATAATCGATATAAATATTATTTAAGATATAATTGCTATAGAATTTATATATACTATACAATATATTCAATCAATTTTTACTAATTTTATCCTTAGCTCTTTTTTGAATATTATTACTTGATTTCAAATTCTCAATATGTTTATTGCATCATATTAGTTGCTTGAATTTTTTCCATCATATTTCTAAAGATAAGCAAGGGGAGCACTTGTATTTATTTTTTTTAATTAGAAAATTATCAGCTTTGGTAAAAAGTTAAATTATTGTTATATTTAACATGAGATTTTATTTGTTTTTAACTAATGAGCCATTGACAATTTTGATAAATCTAAGACTTGTTAAACTTTTTATCCAGATTACTAGGCTATCATCCTAGCAATTCTTGATTTTGGGGCTAGTTGTATGTCTATTTATTTCTACTATATTGTCAATGAAGATGATTTATCATTTTTTGAAAAGCTAGTACAGTATCATATTTATATAATCACAACTTGGTATTGTTAAGTTAGTACAAATTATTGATGCTATCAGCAAGATACTGTAATTATATAAATGGACCAGATATTGTTGTCCCTGATAGACACTGCAGATAAATCACAGGCAAAAAACAATTTAACAGGACTTTCATACCCAAGAACAAAGAATGGACCCTTAGTCACTCATCCCCTTTATCCCAAGGATTCGACAAACATCATAGACCAATATCAATTCTGAAGCACCTGTATCCACAACGGTTTTGTATAGCTTATTCTTATATTTTGTTTTATTAAATAGACACCCAAATATGACAAAACGTTCATCACTCCCTAATATTTTTACTCGAAATTTGATCTTTATTAGTAATATTTATCATAATTAACTTTCTTTAACATTAAACAATTATTATATTCAAACCAGATATTCTCTATTATTAGTGCGCTGAGCAAGCACTACCTTCACCGGAGGTATGTAATAAGTAACATGCTGTTTGTAAAGTATTGGATCAATTGGAAGATAAAGTGTGCCAGGAAATTTCTCATTGAGGTCCCACAGTTATATACTCTTTTGACTCATAATTCTTCACTGTCTGTTTGTATATTAGTAGCTAGTCTTTTTTATGACCATCAAACATGCTCTTGTCAAGACTGCATAGAAGTAAATTTAATTAAGCACTTATTCCTGGTTACGTTTGAAAATGCTATCAGAATCATTAGTAACATTCTAGAAAGAGTAACTTCCGATGATATTAGGTATTTAAGCAGCCACCTGAGATTATTTCTCATGCGATCTATAAAGAAATTAGTTAAGGAAATAAAAATAACAAAATTCTGTTCATATCTAAAAACTTCTGTGTCTCGCCTGGATTTTTCTCATACATATGAAGGGATTCCACATTTCGGGTAGGTTTGATATTATGATTGGAGGGTCAATATGAAAGGCTTCAAGTTTTTTTGTAATTTCTTGAGCTGAAGTTTCTTGAGCCGTGGTGTCCTGAGTGTCTTGAGGCATGGTGTTAGTCTCGGGCCGATCGAGAGTACTTCGCGAGTAGTTATTATAGACTTGCTTGGAGTGCTTTGTGCAATGCTGGAGCTTTGAACTGTGTATTCTTCAGTGAGGTTAGTGGTTTGAGCGCCTTAAGATGTGGTATGTGCTTGAGTACAATATAAATCTGAAAGTACTATGCTTGATGGCAACAAAAAAACCGAGTCTTTGCTTCTTCTGGTGTGAACTTAATGATTTTTTTTTCCCGTGAGTTAGGCATGGCTGAAGTCAAGATGTGATTACATGAAAAATATATACAGTACCTTCAATCGAGGATATGTCTGCTTCGAATTACCAAACTTACGAAAAAAAAAAGCATGGAAGCGGAGGACATGATTATCCAATTAATATGACATCAAAATTACGAAAATACACTACTGTATTTATAAAGATTACGAACCCGGTCAATTAATGTAAAAGCTAATTCACACACGCCCTATTAAAAAATATATCCTTTACATGACAAATGCCTCATAAATAAGAGAATAAATCGGCCATATATTTTTGAATTACCACTGGTAAAGTACAATATTTACTCATTTGCACATTGTTGTTATAGTACGCACTGATGTTTCATATTTTTAGAAGTCAAAAACACAGCGAGGAACTTTGAAAATATGACAAATGAAACACGTGATGGTCAATCCGAGGAGACCTCCGGAGGAAAAAATGGTTAAAAAATTTGAATAGAAGGTTGATCGAAGATTTCTGTTGATGCTGGCGGTGATGTATATTTTGGCTTGCAATAGGACAGACATTGGTGTGTTGAATAATTATGCGAAAAAATTAAAAAAAAAAACAATGTACGTACAGTCTCCGTATAAAGTAACGCCCGATTTGCACGTATAAGTAATACGTGTAATATTTCCCAATTTTAATATAAAAATCACGTTTATTTACTTTTTTATGATTTATGAACACTGTGTCACTCTATTACATAAAAAATGACACCCCCCGTACCCAGCTTACAGACGTAGACAAAGGCAAAATTCTCGCTTTTTCTGGATTTTTGAATGTCGCACAAATCACTCAAAAAGTTGGACGGGATCCAACTACCATACGTCGTTTTATTAAAAAATACAAAAAACAGGAAGCATTAAAAACCTATCGCAATCAGGCAGGCCGCCTATTTTAAACAACCAAGAAAAACGTAGACTTATTCAAGAAGCAACGAAAGAACGACGCTTACCATTATGCGAAATTATAAACAAGTTAGAGCTTAAATGCAGTTTGTCAACTGCCAAAAGTATACTTCATAGCTCTGGACTTCATTCATATATTGCAGCTCAAAAGCTTTTATCTCAGAAAAACATGCAAGCATCTGTGTTGAGTGGTGAGAAAAAAACAAAAACATGACCATTCGCGATTGGGCTAACATTATTTTTTCTGATGAAAGTAATGTTGAAATAGGCAAGCAGTCCTGACAAATAAGAGTTTGGTGACACGAAGGTGAAAGGTTTGAAGAAGATTGTATAGTTCCCATTTTTAAAAGTGGACGACGATCGGTTATGGTTTGGGGTGTTTCGCGGGAGGGTTAAAAGGTCCTTTAATTTTTTGTGACAAAAATAAGGAAAAAGGTGAAAAAATTAGTGCAAGTGTTTATGTTAGAATTTTAGATAAAAATTTGTGTTTTTTTTACATGCTATTATGGAAATAAAGGGAGAAAAACTGATTTTTCAACAAGATAACGCACCGATCCACACTACGAAAATTACGAACGAATGGTTAAAGGCGAAAAAAATTAAAACTATGACTTGGCCCACCAATTCTCCAGATATAAATCCAATAGAGAATGTTTGGAAGTTGCTTAAGGATAAAATTCAGGATCGTTATAATTTCCCCAAAACAATAGATGAGCTAAAAACCACATTAAAAGAAGAATGGGAAAACCTCAATATCTCCGTTCTTGACAAAGTTATTGCTTCCATGCCTAGAATAATAAACGCGGTGCTAAAGGCAAAGGGGGGGGCGACAAAATATTAAAATATTGTATATATTAAAACGTATATAAAATAAAATTTTTTATTAAAAAAAAATCGGGCGTTACTTTATGCGGGTACTGTACAGTGGATTGGAGCGTGATCTTGGTAAGTCTGCTGACTGAATACCTCAAATATGTATACATAAGGTTGGACTTTAGATTCCGCTAGCGACATTTTACGTTGGATACGTCTTGATAGAAGTTCCACAAAACATTGTGAGGTTTTAAATGAGATACATTTCTAAGAAATAAATTAACTTTTGTGTTTATGTTTGTAGGTTTTCCTTCATAATAGGTAATGAAGAAATTTCACGCCATCGAAATGGATTCCCTTTCTGATGATGCTTTGATCGATTGCAATCTGTTGCATGTCCACGGTAAAGAAATTCCGGATTTTGTTGTGGCAATATTTGTGTTAGCCATTACCGAAGCTGGTATGGTATACATTAAAATTATGTTTTTTCTAATTTTTTTCTATGCCTATTTCCGTTAGTATTAATGTTCTTTAAGCGGTCTCGCCTCTCATTATAAAAGTCATGTGATTTTATTAATAATTCCTATATGGTATTGAATACTTGCATACCTAATAATCGACTTTATGAAAGATGCAGGCGGATTTAAAGAGATGGAGATGGTTATTTTTAATGCACCTTATTGATGTCGTTTGTTGCATCGCAACGTATCATTCTTTATTCGAATTATATTATCCAAATATTCTTTAGACCTATTTTCGCCAATTCTTTTTGCAACAGTTTTGTTCTTCCAAACTTCTAGAAAACGCGAATTTTCTCACACGAAGGAGAAAAACTATCTTGAGTAAAGACGGCGGCAGTTTACATAACTCGTGACGTCACAGAATTTCCTCATCGTAGACTCTTGATGACCATTAAAGATTAGAAGGTTTATCATAATCATGATTTCCGGTGTATACGACAGAATCGCGCTTCATTCTATCACGCTCTTTAATTCATTCCATGGGATTTAATGCCATGCCATGAAAAGTCAATTGCTTCAACACCACTTTATTTGTTTAGATAGATATCTCATTATAGTGACACTACATTCAGACAGAACTAAGGAGAGAAGTTGACACATAGTCGCGTCGACAATGGTGGCTATAATGGGATACGTCGGGTTAGCGGCCCTTGAAAGCAAAGTTGCGAAGTGTATTTCTACGTTTTTTAATCACAAACGGTACGTTTGCATTTATAAATAGTATCGTGGGTCTTGAAATCATAAATATTAGGGTGTAGCTTTTATCTTTATATTTGTATGTTGATGGTAGGTATGTGGTCGATAATCTCATTGAAAACTTGCATGGTTCTTTAACATTCACTCTTGTCCTCATGATAAAAGATTAATCACCATTGCAATGATTATAACTATTTCCAATTGTTTAGGTAAATAAGAAAAAAAATCGTGAGATTTTTTTTCTAGCATACTTTAATTCATTGCTTCGATGTTATACCAGCCCAAATATAAACCCTTATTCGATAAATTTGTCTCATTCATTATTCGTTGGTTCTGTGCCTAGATCTTGACTTCTCGCTTACATGAAATTACAGTCAAAACGAACGTTTTAATTGCATCGATATTTGCTCTTACAGTCATCTTAGTGATATTAATAAGATTTATGTAGCATTGCGAGAACGAAAAAAGGAATTCATAGACGTTTAAATTTAATATTTTGTAATAATTTTAATATTTTCAAGATTGCTAATAATTTTATTAATCTCTATTAATCTCATCAGCCTTCTTCCAAGAATAATATCACCTTTATTAATTAAAAGGTATGGTAATGTAGAAAAAACAGTGAAAATCCAAACATGATGAAATGGTCGTTGAAAAACGAGAACCCGAAGCTTATTGGCATGTGAGTGTAAGAGATACACATTTTGGATACATTTGTAAAATCTGTTTTTAAGATTTGTTTTTTTTGTTGCATCATTTCAAAACCGTTTCTTAAATTTATTCTTTTGCATTTATAAAATTTATTGATACGTACTATGCTTCTAAGCGTATTGCTTATACTGTAAGTACTACTGTGCTAGGTATACATATATTAATGGAGTCAGAATCTCTTAAACATTATGCATATGCGTAATATACTGTATCATGATGCGTATTCGAGAGGTACTTAAATGATCGTAGGAAAATGCAATGGATTATAGTGTCTTCCTTGTTCGATGGGCGCTTTAAGTTTTAGAAATATCAAACAAAAAATCTTAAGTTTAATCTAGTATTTAGAAATCATTTTTAACTTCTGAATTCACAACCTTGCATTTACATATATAGTTACTTTATCATTTTACTTGTAATAACATTATTGGTAAAGTTTTATGTTCCGTATACAAATATTAAAGTGGGTAATTAAAAAAAAAAAAATTAAAATCGATATTACATTTATGAAAATACAAAATACATTACAAGCACGCGTAGGCTATGCTTAAAAAATTACATGCCGTATTCAAACTTATACAAAATAATCTTAATCAATAATGCTCTCAGAACAAGAAATACTAAGTTTGTAATATAATGTCATGGGCTATCCGTCCAGCCCACACTACTGGTCGTCGCTTCGGTTCCACAATAAGGTAAGTTCTAACTCTTGAGGCGTGTTCCCGATTTGGCCGGTCTTCTCACTTTAACTTCTCTACCTACTAGCCTAGAACCTTTCTAATTCCAATTCCCTTAGGCAATCCTCGGTTCTCTCTTGTAGTCGCGTAGCCCAAGTTACAAGTCTACTGTGGCGCACAAAACACAAGGTAAGAGTTTCTCTTTAAACGTTACTTTATTGTTTATTACTTAATGTGTTCTAAGAACTAAGCTTTTTTTTTTTTACATGCTATTGAATTGCGCATGTATTTATACATGCGCCTACTGTTTACATGTTTACATCTGATCGCTTTTCTACGATATTCTAGAAATTTCCACCTTTAAATTCTCCTACACTAATTTCCCACCGTTCTCTCAAAACAACACCAAT